TATTTTCCAAAAGTCTAAGATTTTTTTCCTTTTTTGGATAAATTATATTTTATCACCATGTATCTAGGATAGTGACAATTAACCCCATGAATGTTCATTTGCAACAAAGATACCTGAATTTTAAATTCCAGCACACTTTGCCTCTTCCCTTAAGTTCCATTAGTTAACAAGAATCTCTTGCTCATCTAAACATTTCTAAATCCCCAAACTATCCGTTCCTTGTAAATAATCATTTTGTCCTTTCTTATACAACAAAAATCCATTGACATCAATAAAGGAAATGATCATGTAAAACGTGACAATGCAGATGATGGATACGAAGAGAAAATGATGAATACCATGGATCTAATGCTAAAAGAAGGAGATACCATTGAAGTCATTGGGGGTTTATAGCAATAGGGGTGCTTGGAGGAATTGCAACAAAATCAGGGTCTATTTGGTTTGTAGTTGGAATTGGAATCGGAATCAAAATCCTTTGAAATCGGAACCGGAATTGTCCACTCCCATAGTCTGTTTGGTTCGGATAGGAATGGGAGTGGGAATTAAAATCAGCAAGAATGGAATTTCATTCCCAAGGGAGGGGCAGAGAATGTTCTTTCCTTCAAATGGGGAAATGCCATTCTAGCAGAGAATGTCCAATAATCTTGTAAGAGTTCTTAAGAGTATTGAATAATAATAATAATAATAATAATAATAAATATTATTATTATTATTACCCTTTGTTTAATCTTTCTCACTGTTTGAGCGAACTGCTCGCTCCATTCTAGAGGATTCTTCTTCAATCGTTTTTCGAGTAATTGGCGGTCTTGGGCTATTCCACTATAATAGTCTACTACATAATTTAGACTGCCTAAGAATCTTTGAATTTATCTTTGATTTCGTCAGGGAATTTATCAGCAAACTCTATCACTCTCTGGATGGGTGTTATTGTTCCTTTAGATATCTGGAATCCTAAAAATCTAATCTCTATCTGAAAGAGTTTCATTTTCTTAGCAGATGCTGCTAATCCATTTTCTTTCATCACCCGGAGGAATATATTCAAGTGTTTCTAATGGGCCTTTATATAAGCGATGATGAACAGTAAGCAATGATGAACAGTAATGATATGCAGAGAGATGTTATGCAAAAAGATAAACAACACACGGAAAATTCTTATTCAGAAAGTATATAATTATTGGAAAACCTCTTAATAAAGATCTAATAGTACTTACAGAGATATAGCACACATAGGTACAACAACAGATACTCTTACAAGATTACAAAAAATCTCTCAGGAAAAAAGCACTCACAACCCTAAAATAACACTCAAACAAGACTTAATACTCTTAAGAACTTATAGACTTCTTTCTCAAATTTTACACCCAAAGTCTTGCACACCTTTTGCTTGAGAGGAGAGTGATTTATATAGAGGTGGCCGAACTTTCCAGAGCAAGACCACTTTATTCGATCTTATTTTTAGGGCATCTATAATTGAGATACCATTTATCTTTTCTTATTGCACATCTTAATTATTGGGATGCTTCCTTATCACCTTCTTGTCCTATTAGGAACAGCTGTCAATACTTTTACTGTTTCGGATGTAATCGTACCACACTTCTCTAATACGATCTCTTTCTTCCTTAGTAAATTTTTTGAAAAACCATATTTTCTTTAAAGGTTGCAAATTAAAATCTAACCTAATAAGGTCTTTATCTATTTGGAACTCATCTTCTATTTCTAACATGTTAATTTCAAAGTCTGCCTCTGTAGGCTCATAAGACTTTACAGATGGATTTTCTCTTCAGGCTGTATGGTAGTCCGATGGTTAATTATTTGTTATTGGTGTCTCATAGGTAGCATAAATAATTCATGGGGGAGATCGTGCCAGGTCTACCAATCTCCTAGATCTTGTGTCCATCAAATCGACGTCTCCCGATCTCCTGGATCACTAATAGATCCAGAAGATGTCGTCTTCTTCCGCGGTAGGCTTGAGGATGTCTATGAGATCAAATTTATCCCACCATTTTATTTCAATTTTCCTTTCAATAGTTGGAGGCATCCAAGAAATATCCAGGTGATAACTCTATTTTAGAATCCAAGGGAGACGAAATGTTTTGAAAAAATCAAATTGTTTTATATGCTCGAATTCCAGATAAGCTCTTCCTTTACCAAAGGCTCTATATTTGTCCATGAGCTCTCGGTGAGAGAAGATATCATCGAAGTTCCCCAAGAGGTCCACCAAAGATATGCCCAATCAGAGTATGGGCCTTGAAAGTCTTCAAAGAAACGAATGAACCATGAATGTCTAAAAATGGAATTCTGCAACAGAAAGACTTTGTACCAAGCGCCTTGATAATCCCAGTAATTGAATATTTTGGGTCTTCTACCAATAGGCTTGGTGATAAATTTTGGCTTGCTTGCATCACCCCAGGCAGACAAAGAGATGAATTTGACTATTACTAGCTTGGAATAAGCTAGTTCAGTTTTATTTGGATCTCTAAAATAGTGTTGAATTCATGCAAATCCCGTATGAAGAATAATTTATTCATAATACTTCTGGTCCTTATTTTGACCACTGACAGAGAAATGATGCCCATCTAGGATGGAGAGGGCAAGGTGCTAAAGAACTCCTTCTGGGTTGACATGAGTGGAGATGGCGGCGGCTTCTTCTCATGAGATAGTTACCACAAAATTTGATGAATTAGGCATGTACTAGCTGGAATTAGACATTAATGGGGACTGCCTAGTCCTTGAACTTGCTCCGATCTCATAATTAGATCTTGGATTGGACTTATTAGTCCTTTTAGGGCACATGGAATTAGAACTTAGAGGAAGACGAAGTATTATGTTGGTCATTTTTAATTAGATAACCTTGCAAGAATTCCCTGGTTAGAAAATCTGGCAAAAAATCTTCAAATCCTTTAATATATTTAATATCAAAATCAAAAACTGACAAACTAGCTTGCCATCTAGCAAAAATTTGTTTTGAAACCAGGTTTTTCACATCCTTTTCCAAAATCTCTTTGGCTTATTTGCAATCAATTTGAAGTGTAAAATGCTGGTTTATCAAATCACTTTGAAATTTAGTGATGCAAAGGACTATGTTGAGCATTTCTTTTTTGACAGTAGAATATTTTCTCTAGGTTTCATTCTAGGTTCCTGAGGTGAACCGAATTATCTCATCTTTCCCATCTCTTCTTTGTTTTAGGATTCCTCCATATCCTATTTCACTAGCATCAGTTTCCACTATCTTTTGGGGATTTTGGATGAGGGATATTGAGGCAGGGAAGGGTTTTTACCCTTTGTTTAATCTTTCTCACTATTTGAGTGAACTGTTCGCTCCATTCTGGAGGATTCTTCTTCAATCGTTTTTCAAGTAATTGGCGGTCTTGAGCTATTCCTCTATAACAGTATGCTACATAATTTAGACTGCCTAATAATCTTTGAAGTTGGGTTTTATCTTTGATTTCATCAGAGAATTTATCAGCAAACTCCATCACTCTCTGGATGGGCGTTATTGTTCCTTTAGATATCTGGAATCCTAAAAATCTAATCTCTGTTTGAAAGAGTTTCATTTTCTTAGTTTTCTTAGCAGATGCTACTAATCCATTTTCTTTCATCACCTAGAGGAATATATTCAAGTGTTTCTAGTGGATCTTTATAGATGAAGAATAGATTAATACATCATCAATATATACTATTATAAATTGAGTATAGGGGGTGAATATTTCATTCATAGTTCTTTGAAATTCAGACGGGGCGTTCTTTAGCCCAAAAGGCACTACATTCCACTCATAGTGGTCGAAAGGCACTATGAATGTAGTCTTTTATTTGTCATTTTCTTCTATTATAATCCGCCAATAACCTGATTTTAGGTCAAATTTTGAGAATATTTTTGCATCATATAGACGGTTTATTGAGGGGTTTGTAATTTATTACGAGTCTCAGTACTCCTCTTTCTATTTATGCTGCGTTTTCTACATAGAAAGCAGGGCAGCTCCAAGGGGATTTGTTTGGTCTGATTAGACCCTTCTCTAATAAATCTTGGATTTCTTTCTTACGGATTTCCAATAATCTGTTATTCACCAGTCTTCGGGGGAATTAGAGGTGGTCCTAAATAACTTCTTCATCTTATCCTTTTACTTTACCAAATATGGTTAGTCAACTTTCACGACCTTCACTCTCTTCGGCTTACAACGCGACTACAACTTTGGCTCAAGGGTTATAGTCTTGGTAAAACTGACAGGTGTTTAGGTTGTCTGACTGAGGTTCTAGCCATGATATGTACATATCGGATTGTATCTACCAATATGACATGATACAATCTAATACAAAGGTGGCATATCCTGTATCTGTGGACATGGATACTGATACAATACACCTTGTATTGAGAGTATGATATCAATACTTTAACTACATAATCGAATTACTCCTTCATTTGTGAAATTTGGTTATAATGTCCATATTTTCTTTTGTATGTATTATTGGTTGATTTGGTGTAATGAAGGTTTTTTTTTTCGAAAATGGTGTAAGGAGGGTTTTGATTGTTCAAAACTCTTTTCATACCATATCTTTTCTGCATCATAGATTTTCCTGTTTAATGAATGAATGAGGGCTTTTCTATAAAAAAATAGAAAGAATAAATCCATAAAAATTTATTTTTAAATCACAAAAATTCAAATATGCATTACATTTTTTTAAATTCCATAGTTCATTGAACATTTTTATTCCAAATAAATAATGATTTGAAAATAAGAGGGGCGAAAAGGGACGGGGAGAGAGAGAGTTTAAAACAAGCCAAAGTTTCATTAGTAAGCTAATCAAATACAAAACCTCACTACATACCAATTGGTCAATTTTGCTCTCATATTTGTTATTATATATAAAACTAACTATAACTAAGAGGATCGGACAAGAAAGAAAAACAGAAAGATTAAGGAGGAAGAACATATTTGTATTGCAATTTGCAACTATAGGCACATTAATAAATTAAAATATTAAGAAAACTAAAAAAAGGTAAAAAGAGTCCGAGAGAAAGAGAGAGAGAGTACTTGCAGCGATCGATGGGTGTAATCTAATTCTCAGAGAAGAGCGCGAGAAATATTTGGAGAGAGAGAGAGAGAGAGAGAGAGAGAGAGAGAGAAAATAAAAGAGGAAATGCTGAGAGCGAGACAGAGAGAGAGACGAAGTTCGGAAGCGAAATCGAACAAAGACTAATCGAAGGAAACTTGCGAGGATTCGACCGAAGTCTTTGTAGACGTGTTTCTGAATCTTAAATTTTTCTCGGTCTCAGAGAGCTCGAAAAGGTGAGGTTGAATTATTCAAACCATGATTCTCATCTTTAGAAGCTTAAATCTTTGCTTGTTTGTTGTTTTTTCTGTTTGTTTCTGTTCTCTGTAAACCAAAATTCGAACTTTCGCTCGAACCCTCGAACTCACTCGCAACTTAATTCTTTCGTGATCCGTGTTGGTTAACTTGGTTTGGAGATCTCAGTGCACTGAGAGAATTTGGATTACTGTTCTCTTCTCGAATTGTGAAGAAATGAAGGTTTTTCTGGACTTACAGAGAGGTGTATTTCTGGGTTTTTGCAGTTTGCGGCTGGCAAGAAAACAGGGTTCTTAAAGCGAGGCTTTGGTAATTAAAAGTTAGGGTTTTAATTTCTACGGATCGGAATTTTAAGTTTTGATTGCAGGGTTTTGGAGGGATTGAGTAAAATCTGTGTTCAGTGAGATCTCTACTTGCGGGCTCTATTTTCCGTTTCCTAGGGTTCACGTTTTTGAAGATGAGATTGGTTTCTACATTGTCTATCAGGCGTGTGGAGAATTTCGGGGATGGTACAGGTGTACGCAGGAACCGGTATTGGAAACGCAGCAAACCCTAATTCGTTTGGAAAAGGACTTGGCTTTCTGGGTTTTGTATTTGGACAGGAAGATTGATGATTTAGGCGTTGTTTATGGACTCTATGTATTGAGAAATGCAACCTTCACAGCAGCACTCTCGGATCAATCTTGCTGATTTGAAGGCTCAGATAGTGAAGAAGCTTGGGCCCGAGAGATCAAGGCGGTACTTTTATAATTTGAATGGACTATTGAGCCAGAAGTTAAGCAAGATTGAGTTTGATAAGTTGTGTTACCGGATTCTTGGAAGAGAGAATCTCCCTTTGCACAATCAATTGATCCGTTCAATTCTGAAGAATGCTTGTATTGCAAAGGTTCCACCACCAGTCCATGGGAAGGAAGTTCAGAAATCCAGAAGAGCAACAGGAAAGAAACCTCCTTCAAGAGAAGATTTGCATGAGCAAGGTGGGCCGTCTCCAATTCCAACTCAGCCTTCAACTCCAACTCCAAAAATTTGGGCAAATGGGGGTGTTGTGCCAACATCTCCTCCAAAGATCCGGTCTGGGATTCATGACCGGAAACTCAAAGATCTCCGTAGTCCTCTTGGACCAAATGGGAAGATAGACTTTGCTTCCCAACAGTTGATCAATGCAGATGATAATAGTAATAAAGTTATTACAGAAAATGGGGATTTCAATCTGTGTGATTTGTGGAGACCAGTGCAAAATCATCAGGGTCTTGCTGAGCAACCTCAGAATGAGCTGGAGGTTTCTCTTCAGCACCCTCCAAAAAGATCACGAATAAACAGATCACCGGATGATCTGGTTTCTGTACATAGCAAGGGCCAGAGCCAGATTGATGTGGTTGTCGTCGAAGATGGGGAAGAGGTGGAGCAGGCTAACAACTCCAACTCTACTAGAAGTCCACTCCAGGCTCCCCTTGGGATTCCATTTTGCTCAGCTAGTGTAGGTGGGGCACACAGGGCTATGCCAGTGCCTAGCAGTAGCTTTCCTACTTTTGACAGTGGTGAATTGTTTGATACAGAGATACTGAGGAAACACATGGAGCAGATTGCAGGAGCACAGGGCCTTGAAGGGGTCTCTACAGATTGTGCTAACTTGTTAAATAACGGGCTGGATGCATACTTGAAGCGGTTGATAAAGTCTTGCATTGAGCTCGTTGGGGCAAGATCTGGATATGAGCCAACAGTGCATCCTGTCCAGAAGCAGCATCACCATGGTAAACTCATTAATGGTGTTTTGCGAGGTCATAATCCACAAATGCAATATAGCAGTGGATCCATAGAAGGCATGCAAGAACAGAGAACACGGTTTCCGATATCTCTGCTTGATTTCAAGGTTGCAATGGAGCTAAACCCACAACAACTTGGAGAAGACTGGCCATTGCTAATGGAAAAAATATGTATGCATACATATGAGGAGTAAAACACCTGAAACAAAAATTGGTCCCAACTGATGGTTGGGTGGGCCCATACTGATTCCTGAGTCTTGAAGATCATGGATGGACATTTCCAATGCAGTGAGTACCATGTTGTGGCCATGATGGACGAGATTACTCCCCCAGGAAAAATCTTTATTAAAAGATTAAATTGGAGCAGGGAACCTCTATATTCTCTTGCTGCAGGGCCTCACACAACCAGGATTACATTTAACAGCAATCATTCAAAAGGGAATTCCAAGAAAAAGATACCCGTGATTGGTTGCACTGTTGTATGTTTAGCATTCATGTTGGTTGTTTCCTGCCATCACCGCAAAATCTCAAGATGTTCTGTAATTTACAGCCAATTAAGAGGAAGTTTAAGACCAATTTTGCAGAAATACTTTTGTGATAGTGTGGTAAAAGGTAAAATCACATAATGTAATGATGGCAGTGTTGCGGTGTATGTATTATCAAATCTGAGCATTTATTGATTTCTCAATATTATAGCATGTTACCAACCCATGAATTGTTTTTCTTGAATTTTAAATTTGGGTGTTTCTTTTAATTGATGCATGAGAGGCCAAAACCCCTGAAGTAATAGCATCTTGTCTATTATGTAGGGAGTTGACCTTCTGTAATGTGCGATTTTGCAATACTAATTAGATCTAATTGGACCTATTGCCGTTTCTTTGGTTGTGAATATTCAGGCCATGCAAATATTTATTGGACAAGGAACATGCATTTTAAGGAATTAGAGGCATACACAGCACAAAACTCTTGTGTGAATATTCAAGCAATTTAAATATTTATTGGGCAAATAATTTTACATATAAAAAAATATTGGACAAATAAAATGCTGTATTAGGGCAAAGGAAAATAAATGAGTGGCATGTGCAAGAGGAGAGAGGAAAAAGTAAATGGACTAAAATTTTGGGATGGTTGTCTTGATGCTATATTGGCATCATATAGTATTAGTTGTGGAAAATTACTATTTTTTATTTCTTTATTTGGGTGTGAAACTGCTATATCACTAATGACCTTCTGAAAACCATAAACTTTTAGATATTTCTTTTTTCCTCAATGATAAGGCTGATTGCACATAGAAAAACTTTCTTGTAGAAGTTTGTATGGCCATTAGTCACAGTTATGTACTAAATGTTTGTGATACTTTGTTGTATATAACTTAAGTATCACCTAAAAATCCTAAACAGAAAAAAGAAAAAGAAACACACATGGGACTTTATAAATGCTTCCTTCTTTTTCCTTTCATTTTTTGGAAAGTTTATATTATTTGAATATCAATATATAAGGTCTACTGCGTGGACAATTTGTTTCACAGGAGCCATGATAAAAACACAAGTTAAAGCTAAAGGTACAAGATTGTTAGGAAATATGGATTGAGTATATGGTATACCTCTCTCCCAATGCATAATTCTTATTTCATAGTTCTTGCATTGTTAAGACACATGTAACAATGCTCTTGACATAATGTTCAGTTTCTCACTAGGACTGGGGCCATTCACTTAATATCTTTTACAGCAATTTTAGCTTTGTTGATCATGCCTATGCCTGTGGTGTCTATTTTTGTGTTTTAAACATGTTCCTTGGTGTGTTTTATGGTTATGTTTTGTTGGTTCATTGATCACTTTTTCTATGTACACTTTTGTGTTTCAAAGATGCTAGCTCACCAATGTTATCACCCTAGCAGAGTAGAAAATAAAATAGAAAGGCAAAAAACAGGTGCCTTTCTTACTTTTCTATCTGCAAAAGGCACTTATGGTAACCTAGCAATAAGAGGAGAAAATTTGGATTTCGTAGACATTGAAGGCAAGCTTATTCAAAGTTAGGAGCCATTTTTACCATTATAGTTGCTTCTTTTCCACTTTTTTCTTTTTTGTATCTATATCTTTTACTCGTACTGAATCCTGTTAGGCTCTCTTCTGTAAATGGTAAGCATTTTTGACTTAGTCTGTTCTAATGAAGTTGAGAAAAATAGACTAGTCGCTGATAAAAAATAAAAATAATAATAGACTGGTCTATGTCAGTATTTTACATAATGATTCTAACTTCCTTATTGTCTTCTCATTATGAAAGTTTGTACAGTTTTCTATAGATTATTGACTATTTGTAGTTGGTAACAACTCAAATTATTGTTTTTCTCTTTTGTATTTTCAGTTGGCATTAAATTTTGGTGCTGTTTGGCAAGTCTTTTTAAAAAGATCTTCCAGCAGCCCAGATGGCCAAAAGACAAAGACTGACATGTGGCTTGGTCTATACCGGGCTTTTAAAAATGCATTTAGAGGCTATTTATCACACAGAAACACCAGAAACTTCCCGAAATTCGGTGTTTTTGGTTTTTTGGGTCTTTCTGCTCACACGTCTTCTAGGCTTACCAGCTTTTGATTATCAAGTGGAGAAGACCGCATGGAAAGACTTGCCAAACGCCGCCTTTGTTTACGGAAGAATCTTTTCCTCTTCCATCTTTTTCTTTTACATATTTTTTTCTTCCCTCATTGTTTTAATTATTATTTTTCTTCTTTAACTCTTATCTTATTAGGTTTTGTTTCACCCACTGTGGTTGTTTCTTTTTGTTTGAAAGTTTATTTTCCTTACTGTCAACTCCTTCCTTTTCCAGGTTTTGTTTCACCTATAAACTATTGGTGGATTTATACACTTTTTTTTTTTACCATTTTGGAAGTTTGTATAGTTTTGTTTATATGATTGAATAGGTTTACATGTGTTGCAACACTTGAAACAAAAAGTAAACTTAACAATAAAGATACATTGAATACTAGATGGACAATAAAATTATGGTTGAATACCAGAAGCAGCTGTTGTGTCCTTGGGGCTTGCCTTTTGAGGCCAGTCTGTTGTATCATGGTTCTTTCAGTTTCTCTTTAATGAAATCTATTTGTTATAGAAAAAAAGTTCTTTGTGCACCCATTTTTGCATTGGTCAAGTATGAATAATATTATAGAGGTTAGGTCATAAGTTTAGATGCAGTTTGGTATCAACATAGAAGATGGATACTGCAAAGATAAAATGAAGTTTTTCAAAAGCTTTTTTTTTTTTAATATATTAAGTGGGTAATTGTATTTCTACGCTATACATTAGCTATACATTATCTATTCCTTTGTTGACAGTTTGGAAAACTTAGCTTCTTTTACTAGAGAGCATCCTTGTGCTGATCAATTGAAATCAAGGTTTTCAGTTTCCAAGCAGGTGTGTTATGTGCAGAGGAAAATAGAAGCCATTTGTTCATTTGTTCAAGTGTGCAGTGCTAAGTCCATCTAATTTTCTGGAGATGTTTACGAAATGGCCAAACCTATCAGGTAGTAAAAAAGCTAAGATTGTCTTGAATATGATTCCTTTTGTTGTCTGCTGGGGCATTTGGAGAGAAAGAATCAGGGGAATATTTTTAGAAGTCAAGACAAGAGGTTAAACTAATTCTAGATCTTGGTTTCCTTAGTTGTAGAGTACTTGCTCATTTGAAATTTAAAAATCTAAGTAGATGTGACATTGGGGAGAAGCTTTGGGAAAAATTAGACCATTGTACGAAGATTGTTGAGATATTTTGAAATGGGAACTAATGGAAGTTTCAATGAGTTCTTTGATAGAGGGATCATCATTCTGGGACTAAACATTACCTTCTTAGCTTTGATTCCTAAAAATCCTGGAGCCAATTACCCTGAAGACTTTAAACCCATAAGCTTGGTCATAACCTCTATAAATTCATTGACAAAGTTTTGTTCTTGAGGCTTAAAATGGTCCTTCTTTCCATTACCACACCAAATCAGGGTGCCTTTGTTTAGGGTAGACAGATTATGAATCAATCTCTTAGCAAATGAATGTGTGTAAGGGAAGAGAAGATCAAGAACCAAGGAGTGTATCGATACATTGTGAGATGTGGGTTCAGGGATAGGTGGTGTATCCATACGTCTCATTACTAGGTGTTAGTGAATGTAACAGTGGTGGATTTTGTATTGAAGATGATGTGATTGTATGTATCTTGGGCTTGCCCTTCCACCTTTGGAGGCAAGAAGTGGTTGAATCTATAACCCAGTTGTGTGGAGGGCGACTCACTGGTGTCTTCTGGGGGGTTCTCCACTCAGCTGCAATAATATTAAGTGGAGTAAGGCCAGAAGATCTGCCGAGGAAAATAGATTTAAGAGTGGAGGGCTGCTTCTACTCGATTTGGCTGGCTTCCTCCATAGAAGCAGGCCTGTGGAAGGAGGATGAAAGAGTGGAAGAAGCTTCACCAAAAAGGGTAAACAGGAGCTGATGGGGCTGGAAGGTATGCTGCAGATGGAAGATCAAAAGAGTGGCAAACAAGGTAACAAGGTGGCGTGTAGCAGGTCTTATGCACAGGTGGTCAAAGGTGGCAGCTATTTGATTCAAAAATTATCCAAAGAAGGGGGGTTGGTAGGTCTGAACCAACCTGAGCCAAGAAAGGAGGGAGCTGATCCATCCTTATTTGGATATGGGTGTGATGAATTAAGGGATCATGTGCTGGACGTATCTGGTCTTATTAGGCATCTGATTTTAGCAGGGCCCACGGGTAACAATGGGCCGAGGCAAGCTGGGCTTAAGATCGCCCAACCTGGGTCAGGTGAGTGCTTAAAAGCTCACATGATTGAAGGTAAGGTGGGCTCAAAGGGTGAGACACGTGAGTCACTTAAAACTCACATGTATAACAGGGTTGCAGCTTCGATAGATGGTAAGAAACATCTATCATCTTCTTCCTCGACTTCTTCCTGTTGACCGAAGGATACAGGTGCAGGTTCAGCTTGGACTGGCTCTCTACAGTGGATTTCAACGCAGAAACTAAAGTCGTTGTCGCCTAATAGACGCAACCCAAGGTCTATTAGCGCAGCGATCTTGAATCCTTAGCAGATGGCGACTGGTCTGAGGATGAAGAAAGTGACGAATCAGGTTCTGTTGACACAGTCAGTTTGGGTAGTGTTGATCTGCATCAAAATGGGAATTTCATGGAAGAGGAAAGCTTTAATACAGAAACCTTATTTCTGGAAGGAGATAAAGGGGCTGGACATGGAGAGAGTGTGGATTGATTGCTTGGGTATGAAACTGTGCACTCCATCTCTTCTTCCATGGAGGGGGCCGTTCCAACTTCTCAGTTTTGTCAAGAAGTTAGTAAAGGGGAGCAGGACTCTGCAAAGGAAATCTGCGAGGATAACCCAGAAAGGACAATACAGGGACAGGCTTCTTCAGCAAATAGACTAGCCAAGGGAGACTACTTGTCCATACACGCTTCGCAGCAAACTCCAACAAGGGGAATAGCAGCAACGCCCTCATGTTCTAATCCCCATCTAAAAAGTTTTCGTACTGCCCAGTCAGCCCCTGCCTCTCCAGGTATTATTTTCCCTTGCGTTTTTGGTACTGGCTTGTGTGCTGAGCCTGTTGCAGATACTCCAACATCCCATCTTGAAAGGGGTAGTGGTGGTACAGGGGAAAGGAGAGCGGGGGGGTGGGGGCTGAAAAGGTGAAAGAAAAGAATGGAGCA